GCAAAAGGAGGCCAGCATATACTTTCAACCATGCAGGTCTTCAATGCCAAGGGGTTAGCACAGATGTTATATGCTGCACAGTGGTATAGATACAGAAATTTTACTACAATGGAGTCCATTCAAACGAAATTTCTGAGAACTATTCTTGGACTCCCAAGTTGTGTGCCAAATGTACTTTTACAATTAGAAACAGGCAAGATGTTGATCGAGTCTCGGGCATGGATACTTAAGTTAAAGTTTTGGTTAAAAGTGTTCTTCACCCCTGTGGGGTTGGCTCCCTTACGTGTGGTGGAGATAGTTGGCCATGTTCTGTTGTATTGCTCCTTCTACACTGGTTTCAGTGACACTTTTATTCATCCAATTTTGCAAAGTATCCTTGAAAGAGATGATGAGTGCTATACTCATCCAGTGTCCATCAGTAATAATTAAACTGGCCAGCTTCTATCTGCAGGCGAGAAATGTGCTTAATCCTCCAGATATATACATGTATGTATGCATATGTGAATATGTATGTATTGAGGGTGGGGTTATGCTTCTAACAATTATCTATGAATTTGCGAAGGCTTTCACGGGCGGGATCTAATGGTTGTTGTGGGTTTTTTGGGCTCTTTGGTCGTGTTCTGAAGGTTGTTCTTCCTAACGTTTCGCCAGTCTCTCTGGCCGGCATCTTCAGAGAACAGCACTCTATGCTCTGTTGTAGTTGGCTAGGGAGTGCCAACTACACCACTCCCTACAGCACTCCCTAGCCAACTACACCAGAGCACAGAGCGCTGTCCTCTGAAGATGCCAGCTACAGAGACTGGCGAAACGTTAGGAAGAACAACCTTCAGAACACGGCCAAAGAGCCCAAAAAACTCACAACAACCAATTATCTATGGAATTTGTTTCCCTGAGATGTAGTTGGCTAGGGAGTGCCAACTACACCACTCCCTACAGCACTCCCTAGCCAACTACACCAGAGCACAGAGCGCTGTCCTCTGAAGATGCCAGCTACAGAGACTGGCGAAACGTTAGGAAGAACAACCTTCAGAACACGGCCAAAGAGCCCAAAAAACTCACAACAACCAATTATCTATGGAATTTGTTTCCCTGAGAGTCTGCTGCACATAATGTATACTACAGTTGTATTGATACTGTTTATTTTTATGCAGTTGTTCTGTGTTATTCACGTCTGATCTGTTGATCGTACAAATCAATCAATCATATGGCTGTCCATACGATATGTTTTGCATACAGATTGAACAGATAAGGGGATACAATGCACCCTTGTTTGACTCCTTGCCTATAGGAAACCATTCTGCCTCTCCATATTCCGTCCTAATGGTAGCTTCTCATCCGCAATACAGAGTATGCATCAGGACAATCAAGTTCTAGGAGTGATACTATATTTATAATCCACTTGGAGTGCAGTGCTAAGAAAATTCCACCAGTGGTCACTGCAGGCATGTTTCATCCATGGAAATCGTAATACAGAATTTAGTTTTAGGAGTTTTATGGAACACCTTTGAAGAATAAGATGTAGGTTGTATTTAAGTGGGCTTGTATGAAATTCAGATACTAGGACACAAAGTGAAACTTATTTTCAGCCTTTGATATAGAGAACAAGGTCCAAATAAGAGATTTTTAAAAAAGCAAATCTAGCAGTATATTAAAATTACATGCATGTTATGCACATGCAACCCCCTCATGAGAAGTGAAAAGTTTCAGGGTTTCCAGAACTCATTCAAAGTTTAGTGAAAGGAGGCCAGTGTCATCTCTGCATATTTTTAAATTACAGTTTTAAAGCATCCCTTAAACAAAGTTCTCTGGGTGGTACACTATCTGATAAAAATATGAAATAAAAAAATTAAGGAAAATGATTGAGAAGCACACTGTAAAACCAAGGTAAGGTCAACAACAGAATATATTAGACATTTCAGCATGTTAATCCAAATTGAAACCAGAAGCACAAAAAGAATGCAACACTGCAGAATGAAGTAACCTCACCTGGTACCCAAATGACCTTGATGTAGCCACAAGGTGAGACTTTTTGTAGAGGGTGTTATAGAGACAAGGTGCCCCTTTGTTAAAAAGAAAGAAAAATCCCATCCCCCCCTTGCCCCCCAATGCTCAAAAGCCAGCTTCCTTTTGAACACTGGTGGAATAGAAAGTCTCACCACTCTAGTAACAATGGAATCTCCCTATGTGTTGTTGTGCAAGTCAAGACCATCACTGAAAATGGGTGACTTCCACTAGAGCAGTGGTTCCCAACCTTAAGTAACCCCAGGTGTTCTTGGACTGCAACTCCCAGAAACCCCAGCCAGCACAGCTGGTATTGAAGGCTTCTGGGAATTGCAGTCTAAGATCACCTATGTTACTCAAGGTTGGAAACTACTGCACTAGAGTGATGAGACACCAAATACCTCCATGTGTGACAGCCAAAACTATCAGGCCACTTGCTCTACAGCCAGTTACACAAAAGGTCTGATTGAATGGGATCATGGTCATAATCTGGTTTTGGTCTCAGAGTTGTCTCATGATGAAGTACTAAAGAAATACTGGCCAAAATTCTAGCTACATAAATGGCATAACCTTTGGAAACAAATTGCCCAAGTTAAGAAATCATCATAAACATTATCAGTTGCACATTAAGTCACACAACTCAGTATGCAACTGAAAATGTCTACAGTGATTTCTTAACTTATGACAATTTGACTCCAAATTGTTATGCTATACCAGCATGACTAAGTGAGGATTTGGGCCACTAAGTGCAATTTAAGGTGGAAGGCTTAGAAGAGAAACATCATTGAACAGCATTTAACACGACCTTTGTGCATGCATTTCTATTTATAATTCTGTGACACAGCTAATAAAATCTGTGACAAAATCTGTTCAAAAGCAGCACATCTTAGATGAGCTTTAGTAAGGAAGGATTTTATTGTTTTGTTTCCGTTATTTGTTTTTTTTTAAATCCTAAACTATGCTACATGTACAGGCCTCAAAGAAAGTACAATCAGTGGTGTTATATTGAAAAATATAAAGAGTGGAGAAATAATAGCAATTTAACCCAATGGAAATAAAACCCTTAATCCCAAGGGGTGTGTGTGCGTGAGAGAGAGGGCTTATTGTTTATTTATTTTATTGATAATAATGTTTTTAACCTGCCCTGTTCTGGCAGGTCTCGGGGCAAGGTACAATCAGTGGAAACCATCTAAAATAAACTGTTTGAACAATTTTAACCATTTAGAAGAATTTCACTCAGATGAAGAAAAATCCACAATCCAGCATTTCAAAATCCAAGCCAGGATCTTTGTATTTGAGCCTGCATGTAGGATAATTTCAGTCCCTCAGCCAGTAGGGTAAACCTTCTCATTGTTTAGTTGAAGGGAGTTTTGGGGGTGGGGGGAAAGAAAACAAAACTTGGCACATTTTGTGAGAACGCCTTCTCTCCATCTGTGTGGGGCTGAGCTCCTCCCAGAGGCTGAACCAGCTGATGTGAGGCTTCTCTGTACCAGCCAGCTGTTCAGCACATCTGACTCTAGTCGCTCAGCTGACACAACCTCAAGGCAGCCCTTAGCCTTGTTGCTTCTCAGCCTTGAGGCCCCTTGGACTGCTAACAGCTAAATTCGCTGCTTAGATTCATTTGGGTCTTTCCTTCAGCCCGCCTGGCTTTCCAGCTTGAGAGAAAATCATGGTTGCCACTTGCTTGCACCTCACTGGATTTGCGGCTAGCTTTATTGGATGGATTGGCTTGATCGTGGCAACCTCCACTAATGACTGGGTTGTGACTTGTGGTTACACCATCACCACCTGCCGGAAGATGGATGAGCTGGGATCCAAGGGACTGTGGGCAGACTGCGTCATGGCAACGGGGCTGTATCACTGCAAGCCACTGGTGGACATCCTCATTTTACCAGGTATAGTTTTGATCTGGTTACTTCCAAAGGGCATAGAAAAAAAGGGGGGGTGCGTGGTTGGGTGGAAGCACGCAAAATGGATGCCAGCAAATGTGGTTCCACATATTTTAAAACTAATTTTAAGTTCTTTTTAAAACTAAGGCGAGACTCAAGAGGTAAAGCCAACGTTTCCTCAAGCAGAGGAAAGATGGAGTTTATTGTTGGGTATAAATAAGAAGAGAGAGAGAGAAGAAGAAGGAGATTATTGGAGTTCTGGGCAGAAAGATAGGGGTCCAGGCACATTTACTTTAATACACGCAGAAGCTGGCTAAGCATCAATTCTTATTTAAGAAAAAAGTCACTGCAATTCCTATTATATTCTTTGATTGTGAAGAATTGCACCTCTGTTGACTTTGATGATGAAAAGCCACTCATGTTCCTCTTTAGCAGAAATTTACAAAAATTTGTAAATGAAGGGTCAGGGCACAGCTTTGGAAATGTATGGTGCCATGGTGTTTCTGGGAAATGTACTCCAGAAAAGTAACTTTTCCAAGCTATGATCAAGACAGTGATCTTATCTCTGAGAACAGCTATTCTGATCTTCACTCCCAGATTTTAGCAGCTGAGTTGGCCTTCGTATGCACTGATTACAACGGATCTAAAGTTCAAATCACTTGTGTTGCATTGAAATGCCTCAGGTTTACTCAGATGCAATGTGAACTGCCCTGATTTTTTTTAAAATTTTTGGAGATGTGACCAAATCCTACCCCAGCACCTGTTTTTGTGTGATTCTGAAAAGTCAATATCTCTGAGCCTCAGTTCACTATCTGTAAAATGGGAATCATAGCAACCCAGGAAACTGCAGTTCAGTACAGTTTGTAAGGATTGGCAACAGCTCACTAATGCCACTCTAATGTCTATCTGGAGATGTCAGGAATTAGAAGTAGGACTTTCTGCATGCCCAGGACATGCTTTACTGGTGAAATTATGGAATTCCCAAAGATAGATGTACCTCACTGCAATGTGAGAATGAAGCTTTCTGGTCTGAACTGCAGAGTTCTTAACATCAGAAACGAAGAGGCAGAATCTGGAGAGCAAATTTTTGGACTACAGCTCCCAGAATCCCCTAACCAGCACGGCTAGTGGCGATGATAACTGGTGGATTTTGGATTGGTAATCCGAAACAGAACATATTTAAACTCTGCTGAACTACAGAACTGCTAAGAAGATACCCTTTCAGGATAATCTTATGAAAAAGACATTGGTGATCCAGTTATTTTACCTTTTAAGAGTGAATTTGCATTACATAGCCATATAATCCACTTAAACTACCATGACTCTGGCTGGTGGAACTCTACGAGTAGTGCCTTGTTGGGATAATAATACTTCTGTACTAGAGAGTACTAATGCAGCTCCCCTGCCACATGACGGAGAATTCTAAATATCCTGCTGAACTACAAATCCCATGATTCCAGAGGAGAGCCACAACAGTTAAAATGGAATTAAACTGCTATAACGGTGTGGTGTGTGTACAATCTTTTAATTAGTCTATTGCTGTGCTTTATTAGGCTTCACTTTTTTTCCAGGAGAGATGTTTCTCTTCTTCTAATGAAACATAATTTAATAAAAGGGTGGTCTGTCTCAGGATGGCACTGAAGGAAGTAGTAGTAGTAGTAGTAGTAGTAGTAGTAGTAGTAGTAGTAGTAGTAGTAGTAGTAGTAGCGTTATCATCATCATCATCATCATCATCATCATTATCATTAACAACTGGGACTTCCAACAAAATGTTGCAAGAATGAGAACACCTGTTCTAGGTTTCAGCTGTAAAACCAGCCAGACCTTCTTCCAGAATACTCCATTCCACCTTCTCTCCATTTTCTTTCCCCATCTCCAATAGTGATTTAGCATTCTGTAGCAGATAAACTTTGGATAAACTTTGTAGAAAGTTTTTCTCAATTTTGAGATTATTTTCGTGAAATATTTTTTTCTGTTTCTACAAACATAGAGGTTCAACAATCATGCTGATATCTTGCATGTGGGTGATACTCTTTTAGCTATAAAAATAATGTTATTCATGTCTGACCCCTAGAAACAGAGGGAAAGATAACATTTTATGTATATAGCCCTTTAAAAATAAATAAACCCAGTGTCACATATCAGATGTGTTTAAAGAGTTTAGAATGTCTTGTGTACAAAATCTTAAAAGACTTCTATAATGTAAGCCTGTATTTCTTTCCCTGTTAGCCTTTGATGGGCAAATTCAGAATACATCATTAGCCGTTTTGACACTTCCATAGCTGTAAGGTTAGTGCCAATTGACCTTTGAGAGTGTGCAAAAGAGCAATATTTCCACATTGGGCCATTTAAAATATCTCTTATATTGCTTTGACTTACTTTAAATCATTTCTGGTTGATAATATCTGCTGGACAGACAATAGGAAGTCTTTCTTCATACAGAGCAGAATTAGTCCCTGCCTCAAGATGGTGGTGCTGGCCACTGGCTTCGATGACTTTAAAAAAAGAGGCTAACTCAGTGGTTTAAGTATCTGGCTGCAGAGGCAGAAGTTGGGAGTTCAGTTTCCTGCTGTGACTACTTGGCAGGGGCTGGACTTGATGATTCATAGGTTCCCTTCCAGTTCCACAGTTAAAAAATTATTATAAACCCACTAAGGAGAGGCTGTATCAGAGAGGCATTAAAAGGTGTTTTTTTTTTTACTGCAACTGGAGAATTCTGGGAGTTACCGTCCAAAAAAGAGTAACTCTTGGGGCATGCCAATATGCAACCTCAGATTTTAGAGACAGTTTCTGAAGCCCAACTGCTGGACAGCAACAGCAGAAGAAATCTATAGCCTTCTTGCCCTACTTCAGAGCTTTCCAAAGACATTCAGCTGGCTACTGAAACTGGATATGACTAGCTGGGTCCTGGATGTGACAGAGCCGGAAAGGCCTTCTGTTTTTCCTGTGCTGGTGAAAACTTGTAACATGGGCAAGAGCCTGCTGGTCTTGTCTAGAGTGAGCTCCTGGGTGATTTAATGGAATAGTGGCATTGGAAGGAATTCCAAGGATCATCTTGGGATAATTCTCTACCAATAGCTACTCCTATTCAGCCCCACACCAGCTTCAGAGTTGTAGTTTTAAAAGAGGTAGCTGTGTTCATTTGTGCCAGTCTATTGGGCCAAATACATATGCCCATATTCCATGATGTTATTACCTAACACATTGCCCCCTCCCAAAGCATCTCCAAAAGGAGAAAAATCAGCAATCATTTGTATAATACTTGGATATGCTAATATGTGTGTATGTATGCCAATGTATAAATAATTGCGTTGGCAAGGTAAAACCAATGGGAAAAGAAATACAAGATAAGAGAACAACCTATTGGGTGAAGAACCAGTGGTTTAGACCCTGCATCCAAAATCAGTATAGCCATGATGACATCCAAACTCAGGCATAGAGGAAGAAGAAGCAGAGGCAGAAGGAGAAGCAGCAGAACAAAAATGTAGAGAGGAATACAATGCATCCTACTAACAGTATGGATAGGAGATCTAAGCACTGGTTGCTCAGTCTGCTGGCCAAATGCTAACCCTTGAAGGGCCAGTCCTGTGCTTTTCTCTTTCTATCAGAAAAGCCCCATGGACCAAGTTGTGGGGCTTGGGACATCTTAACCAGAAATGGTGGGATTTGGACTGCACACTCCTTCAAGCAGAGGAATGTCCACTGCAAAGCAGGACACATGGGCACTTTAGACTTACAAAATCTGCTAGGTGCATCTGTGCAGGGTCCCATGTAGACTATGATAATGATCGGAACCAGGATGAGGGACGTGTGGTCTTCTTGGTGTTCCTGAAGCTCTCATTGCCTCTCAACACTTGCCATGCAGATTAAGCACAATCAGAATTAGGGCAGGTTGACTGGCACTACATTTGCAGTTGGAAGGGCATGACCCTGCCCATTGGTCTTTGCAACTGGTCTCAGATGCATAGACCACTTCCAGCCCTTCTTCCTTAGCCCAAAATGAACAAAAAACAGGCCAACTCAGTGTGGAACTAGCATGGCTGTCACACATTTAGGACACAGGTTCTCCTACCACTTCCTCTCTCCAATCTTTGTGTATGCCAATCTCACACAATCTAGATGCTGACAGTAAAACAGTGAAGCCCTGGGCCTTAAAATGACTAGTTAAGGTCCTGAGGCTCAGGCTACTGAGAGTGGAGTCCATGAAGACCTGTATGGCCACACATTTCTCACCCTTAGTATAAAAGGTCCCTGTGTTGTCCATGGCTTGGGGAGGAAGATGTGGTGGAAGGGCCACATATCAGTACTGGCTCCCTAAAATTATTACATGCCCAGTCTCCCATTTCTCCCAGTAGCTAAGCAGGTATAGCTGGATAGTTTGTAATAAGCGCATGAAGGCAGTTGCATGTTCTGCTCTTCCTCCCTAGAACAGTCTCTCTCCTTCTGAGCATGGATATAGAAAACAAACCACAGTAGTGAGACTGTCACATACTAGAACGTTCATTCTTTGTGATATATTTGTAATTTGCAAACATGTATGCATGTGCACATGGGCCAGGGGCCCTTTAAATGTGACACTAGGCCATGACCAGTGTTTTCCATTCCTTTTCCATAAACATCCACAGAGAAACTTTAAACTACGACTCAAAATACCACAGTATCGTTTTTGCTAGAAGGATTGCCCTTGTAGAATTCAAGACACTGGGTTCCAGCGTGTCCCACCGGCTCAGTATGTTTACATGTCTTGCTCCAAATAGGAGGATGGGGCCAAATGTCTCAATCACTGTCTCCTTTCCCAGCCCCTTCTCATTTTTCATGATGAATTTTCGGAACATTAACACTGAGCACATTGGGTGTTTGGGATAAGGCATAGAGGGTGGAGTAGTAGCATTGCAACTCATTAGACTTATTTTTGCAAAAGCCAGGGCACCAGCTGCTCACAGCCAGAAAAACAACAACCCACCTTTGACTATACCTGTCAACTTCTGTGACATCACAAGGACCTACCTCTTTGACATCAAAATGCTCTACTCTCTTGTTCTCAGATTTGGGCCTTGAAATTTCAGAGGGAAAGGTGCTGTTGACTTGGCAATGTTATGTCCTCTAGAGTAGACTGTAGTGCTACTTCCTTTGTGGTTCCAGAGCACCTTCCAACCTTCTGTTTGGAAGCAGGGACAGACTTTCTATCCACCCTTCCAATGTGTTTTGAAGACTTGTAGGGATGGCTGAGGGGCCTGACGCCAAGGGAGGCCTGGAAGGAAAAAACAAGGAACCGGTCCTTCTTGGTGGTGGCCCCTCGACTGTGGAACACTCTTCCAACCGAAATTCCGCTGGTACCCTCGCTGGGTGTTTTCAAAAGCCAGATAAAAACTTGGCTATTTAAACAGGCCTTCCCTCCAGTCAATTAAGTGATTTCTATCCCTAGTTCTTTCTTTTTCTTTCTCCTTATGGTATGCCATCTTGGTAATGTTTTGGTTGGTAATCAATTGCTCAAATTGTAATTATAATTGTAAATAACTGTAAATTTTTATGATTTTACATATGTATATATCGCCATGTTTTATTTGTAAGCCGCCCCAAGTAGACATTGTCTAGAGGGGCGGGGTAACAATCAAATAAATAAATAAATAAATAAATAAATTGTAGTGGCAATTGTTTCTGATATTTGCATCTCACCATATCTACTGTAATATTTATAGCAAAAATTGGTTTTAATAACAAATCAGAGCTAAGATATTTGCTTGTTATGTACATTTATATATCTTGCCCTTTCTCATAGAGTGCGAGGCAACATAAATAACACATACTGAATCTGAGAGTCTCTCTCTCTGCCTATCTATCATTTACAGCTTAAAGCATGTTCCCACATTATGAAATCTGAAAATAAAATGAAGTTTGCAATCACAAGCTAGTCTAATCCTCACAACAGTCGTATGAGATACGGTAGATTGTTCTCAGAGACACTCACTGGCTCAAGGCCAACCAAGGGGCTTCTTGGCTGACTGGGGAGCAAAACCCAATTCTCCCCAGTTCTAATCTGATGCTGTAACCTCTCAACTACAGTAGGTCTCCTATTTGTTCTTTGTTCATAAGGCCATTTTCATTGTTCTAGCAATCATCACCCTGTGCCTAGGACCAAGGAGCTGTTGGCAACCAGCAACAGCAACAACAAAACCACTTGGCTGGTTTCTTTTACTTTTGAGCCAGTTCCCAGAATAAGAAGGCAGCAAGGCCATTGTTTTTGAAGACCATGTGCTGTAAGTCAGTGGTAGACAAAATGCTTTCCCAAAAAAACCTTCTATAGAAATCTCAGGAACTCTGAAGTGCATTTTTAGAAACCCAGGCTACCATTCAGCGCCTAATGCCAATTGATACCAATTTTTTTGAGAATGAAAAATGTCATTTTTCCTAGTTCTGGAAATTACCAAGAGTGACAGCTTTTGCAAGGGTGGGAGGAGCCTCACTAAGTCTCCCCAAAGTACCAAAACCTGAACCAGAAGACACTTTCAGTTTTGATTTGAAAAAAACACCACACACACACACTTTATGTTTTCTGACAATTTTCTGGAATTCCTGGCCTTTTCTGAACCTGATGTGACACCCAGCAGGTGCTGGAGACAAACTATTAGCCTTCAGGCCCTCCAAAGTTGCTCATTGTGTCCTAGGCAAATAGGCAGCTTTTGGAATGAGATCAGTCTTTCAGTACTCCAAAAACCACAGGGCATTGCCCCAGAGAGGCAAGACAGCTCCATCAGTGGCTACTAGTTGCTATTGTGAAAAACCTCCATGTTTAGAGGCCGTTCACCTAGGAATTCCACTTGCTGGGACATAGACAGCAGTAAGGTAAAGGTTCCCCTTGACATTTAGTCCAGTCGTGTCTGACTCCAGGGCGCGGTGCTCATCCCCGTTTCCAAGCCATAGAGCCAGCATTTCTCCGAAGACAGTTTCCGTGGTCACGTGGCCAGCAAGACTAGACATGGAACACTGTTACCTTCCCACTGAGGTGGTCCCTATTTATCTACTTGCATTTTTACATGCTTTCGAACTGCTAGTTTGGCAGGAGCGGGGACAAGCAACAGAAGCTCACTCCGTTGCGTGGATTCGATCTTATGATTGCTGGTCTTCTGCCTTGCAGCACAGAGGCTGCTGCAGTTTAACCCACAGTACCACCACATCCCTCATAGAGAGCAACAGAGAGCCCTATTCATTTATCTCACAGGTATCTGGTGAAAATAGACTGCTGGAGCAAGTCTCTCATTGAACAACCCCTAGCGTGTCTCTTTTGGCTATAACGCGGATGGGCTAACGGTGGCCTTTTACACGTTATTGGCCTGTAACTCCCAGCATTCCTCATGATGTGCCAGTTTGTGTTGATGGGAGCTGCAGCCCAGCAGCTACTGGCAGAGCACACTTTGCCTATTGCTGTTACAGCTTCCGGATCCACTCTGCAACCTTCACCTTTCCTTTTCTTTCCACATATCGCTTAAATTTGCTAGCTAGTGGCAAAAACAGTGGAGACACATTTTCTCAGAAAGGCAAATAATAATAATAATAATAATAATCCCTGTGGTTTGGATGCTGTGAAAGTGTAACCACTTCATATCAGAATGACTAGTGACCAGGTAGCTCTGATTACTGCCCCAAATGAATGCCAAACCTTTTTATTGTAGTTGGAGTGCTATAAATGAACAATAGGGGAAAATCCTAAGCAGATCTTTGGAATGCTTTGTTTTTAGACTACAACTTCCAGAATTGCTGCACTTTTATCTGGAGAAAACTTGCAGGGCTGTTTGTTTGAGAAACTCAATATCAGGGATACTGATTCAGTTCAGATTCAAATGCCTTATCTTGGTCAATGGTTCATTCATGTTACAGAGAGGTGGGCTACCTAAAGTCCATTTGCAGTGCATGTAGACGGCGTGTATTTTTGATGTTCTAAAAAAGAAAAATCCCTTAATATATAATTTTTAATCCTAATCCATAATCTGAGTTGGGCTTCCCCCAACCTTGCAGCTTCCAGCTATACAGTGGTGCCTCGCTTGACGAGGATAATTCGTTCCGTTCACATCGCTGTTAAGCAAAATCCTCGTCAAGCGAAATTAAAAAAACCCATTGAAATGCATTGAAAACTGGTTCAATGTTTTCCAATGGGCGAAATACCTGCTTGTTTTGCGAAGATCCTCCATAGGGCGGCCATTTTCTGGTGCCTGTAAAGCGAGGAATCCATCCTAAAGCACAGCAGGGAGTCATTTTGCACAGCGGGTGGCCATTTTAGAGCCACCGATCAGCTGTTTTAAAATCGTCGTCTAGCGAAAAATTGGTTCCCCAAGCAGGGAACCGATCATCTTTAAGCGAATTTTCCCCATAGGAACATTGTTTTGCGATGGCAATAACGATCGCAAAAACTTCATCGTAAAGCGGATTCGTCATTTAACAAGGGCATCGTTAAGTGAGGCACCACTGTATTAGACTTCAATGACCACCCTTCCCTGTTGATGGACTGTACCGGTAGACAATGATGGCTGTCATTATCTTCATCTGGAGGGTGCCCGATTGGAGAAATCTGCTTCAGTAGCTAAAATCGGAGTTCTTTTTTCTCTCCCCCCTCCCCCAGGGTATGTCCAGGCATGTCGGGCACTGATGATCGCTGCTTCCGTTTTGGGACTTCCAGCTGTTTTCCTCCTGGTGACTGTTCTGCCTTGCATCCGGATGGGCCATGAGCCTGGAGTGGCCAAGTACCGGCGCTCTCAACTAGGAGGAATCCTCTTGATCCTCGTGGGTAAGATACCTGCAATCTGACCTGCTTACTTGCCTCCAATTTTATTACCAGAAAAAAAAATCAGCTTTACTGTTACGTGTGCTTACCCAGATAAAAACATGGGAAAGAAAAAGCTTCCTTGAACAGCTAATCTTTGAGAACATGCCTGATGTTAGCTAAACTGTTAGTCTCTTCTAGAGTAGACCCACTGAATCACTGGGATTTACTTATGTGTTAACACAATGATTCCCAACCTTGCTCAACCCAGGTATCCTTGGACTGGAACTCCCAGAAATCCCAGCATAGCACAGCTGGTGGTGAAGGCTTCTGGGAATTGTAGTCCAAGAATACCCAAGTTATCTAAGGTGGGGAACCACTGTGTTAACATATTGGATTTATCCCCATGCATTTTGCAGCACAGCCACTTTTTGAAAAGTGGAAACCAGGATATGCTAAGGCAGCCTTTCCCAAACCAATGGCCTCCAAGAAGTGTGGGGCTGCAACTTTTATTATTGCCATCTAGCATAGCCAAAGATCAACAATGATGGAGTTTTAACTAACCATATCTGGAAAGCATCAGGTTAGGAAAGGCTAAGCTCAGAGCCAGATGGTTCCCACTATGCTGATTGGTTCACATGATTTCCCCACCCTAGTCCCGCCCATATAGGCAGGATGTACCTCCCATCATCCTCTGCCTTGTGGCCCTCTGGAAGGCACCAGGCTGTGGAAGGCTGGTTCACACAATAATTCACCCTGTCTCAGCAGCTACGGTTTCACAGCTGCTTCACAGCTGCAGACATTGTCAATGTGAAACTGTGAAGACGTGTCCTTATGTGCCCTCCATGGCTCCATTCCCTCTCCAGGGTGCTACGCTCATATGGGTTCGGACCCTCTCGCAGCTCAGGGTCTTTCCTTCCTCATGGGCTAGGAAGACCCAGTCAGTATCAGCTGGATAACAATGAGAGTTACAGTTTTCTTAACCAGCACCTGCATTTTCTTGAGGCCTCGTCTTCTCCTAACAACAAGCCTTGGTGTCTTGTTTTCACCCATTTGTTTAGCTGAGGGGGAGGCGGGGGATGGTGGAGAGGAGACAGGCTGCTTTGTGTTGCCTTGCCCTGAGGCTGGCTCTCTCCCTTGGGCAGCCAGCCAGCCTTGACATCATGCCTTATTATAGTGGACGCTAAACACAGTTGCCACCACCAAGCCAGGGGCTGGGCAAAGAACAGGTCTTGCGGCAGTGGGGAACTCAGACTGCCTGAAAAAAATCACCTCTCTCTCTCTCTCTCTCTCTCTCTCTCTCTCTCTCTCTCTCACACACACACACACACACACACACACACACACACACACACACAGAGAGAGAGAGAGAGAGAGAGAGAGAGAGAGAGAGAGAGAGAGCTAAAACCACACCATCCAGTGCTTCCAGGTAGGCAACATTTTAGAGACTGATATGAGAAAATGATGCACATCTGTGTGTTGAATAGATAAATGTTTGGATTTTGGAGAAATGCATTTTGGAAATTCTTCAGTCATTACTTGGAAAAAGCACCAAATTTTAGAACACCTTGGAATCTATGGGTGAACATTATGAACAGCTTCAGCTCTACTTAGTTTAATTTTTTTTTTTAAAAAGTATAAACGTACTCTTTTGAGGGAACAACACCTTCTTCTCTTCCTTTTTCATGGGTGCGAAGTGCTCAGGCCCCTATCTCAAAACTAGAGTAGTGAGAGTTGATGGCACTTGCCCCAGATGCTAAAGTGGTTTGTTAGAATTATAGAATTGCTTTCTCCTCTCTAAAAATCCTAGTCTTATCATTGCTGTTAGGTTGTTAAATGCTGTTAGATTGCTGATTAACTGTGGCAACACTAAATAGGGTTTTCAAGGTGAGCAAGCTGTTCCACGACTGGTTTGCTATTGCCACACCCCAGTGAGTGTCCATGGCTGAGCAGGATTTGAACTCTGTCTCTTGGGTCCTAATCCACCACTCTAGCCTCTACACCACATGGACTTTCTCTAGCCTTGTTAAAGGTGCAGAAATGCAGGACAGAAGGGTGGGCATCTGAATTATGTCACAACATCTATATCCAGTAGTCATTAACCTAGTTGGAAGATCTGAGCCCACTCTTTTTCCGGCAAGCTTCCAAGAGCTTTGTAGATTCCATGCAGTTCTCCATCATGGCTAGAGCAGGATGCAGTGCTCTTCCATCTCCTCACTGTAGAGGGAAAAAATAATACTGTATGCCCAAATATTAAGTTTGCAACGTTCTTTGACATTCATTTGGTACTTGATGTGGCATGCAAGAAAAACAAAAAACACCTTAACAACATTTTAAAAACAACGACAAACTTGTAATAAAATATTAGTTAAAAAGTCAAAATTCACCTAGATTAGAATACTGGATTAAGCCTGGGAAGACCCATTTTACAATCTCCGCTAAACCGAGCCATTAAATTGTTTCCATCACTTTGAGTACCCTAGAGGAGTAGCAGAAATAATAATACTAATAGTGGTGTTATCAACAGTAGTAGTAGTAGTAGTAGTAGTAGTAGTAGTAGTAGTAGTAGTAGTAGTAGCAGTAGCAGTAGTAGTAGCAGTAGCAGTAGCAGTAGCAGTAGCAGTAGCAGTAGCAGTAAAATTAACAGTTGACACTTGAAAAATACAAACATTTAAGAAGCTGTATTTGGGATCCGCTGTCTTGACTGCAACCTCCTTCCAGAGAAGTAGATTGCAGTAGACCGTAAAGCCTTGTATCAAATAAAACAAGTTAGCCTTCAAGGTGCCACAAGATTCTGTTGCTTTTGCTATTTTGACATGTGTAATGGGAAACAAGACCACCATTGGGGTCAGTGTTGCTGGTGCCCATGGTAGTAGGCATGCAGAAGGCATGCAGTAGAAGCCTATTGGGGGGGGGCAGAGCCAATGCAGTCAGCTGCCTGTTACCTACCTGCTCCTCTTCTCTCTCATTCCCTTTACAGCAACACACCGTGTTTTCCTGAAAACGAGACACGGTCTTATATTAATTTTTGCTCCAAAAAATGCATTCGGGCTTATTTTCAGGGGAGGTTTTATTTTACAGTCGTGTCATGTTCTTCTAGTTGCTGCACAATGCAGCACAATGGTGGAGGGCGGGGTTTCACTTAACTAGGGCTTATTTTGGGGGTAGGGCTTATATTACGAGCATCCTGAAAAATCATACTCGGGCTTGCTTTCAGGTTAGGTCTTATTTTCGGGGAAACAGGGTAGATTAAGAGTCTGGGAGTTCAGTAGGAGCGGAATCCAGTCAGGGTCTGAGCCTCTGTGCTTTGCTAAGAAGGCAGGCAGATGTAGGGTAACTCTGCAGAGCCAGAGGCTGAAATGGATTAGCAATCTAAAGGAATGGCCACCGCTGGTTTAGGGCTACCTCAAAGCTTGGAAAAGTTGTTTTTTGGTTCTTCAGAATCCCCTATGTCAAGGGTCTCTGACCCTCAGTCTGTGGTCTGGTACTGGGCCATGGCTTTGGCAGGACTGGGCCGCAGAGACAGATCTCCCACCCCTCACACACTCACATCCCCATGCACAGACAGATGCACACACAACCCCCCATATGCACACACAAATGCACTCATGCCCCGCCCACGCATGCACGGACCCACACATGTGCTGTGCCCACACACACTAAACTGGTCTGCGGTGCCAAAATTTTGAGGACCCCTGCCCTAGGCAGCATGGTGTCCAGGGGATTCTGGCAATTGTGGTCCAAAAAAGTAACTTCTTCCGGCTCTACCACTAGTTCACTCCACTGCTTGGTCAGAAGGATGGGCAAGGTTTCACTGTGTCTTCAAATCTTGAACTCTTGTGCCGTTTATTGCTGAACAGTATAGAATAAGGAGAGAAATTAAATCTGTACGTTGCACTCTAGTTTTATTGTGATTATTTATTGCTTTTATGTGACACAACTCACAATAGCACACATATTTTTGATCTTGGTTTTTTAAAATGTAATTGGGCAGTGACCATACTCAATAGTTTCAGTAAGGTCATTGCATCAGGTCTCATCAGATAATGCCCTGGAATTCTATTATATTTGAGATTAGTTTCCCTCCATTCTCCTCTTGTCCTCTAGCTGGGAAGATGAGCAACAAGCAGGGAAATCTCCCTGACTTAGTGGCTGGGACCTGAGGATGGGTAGTGTGGAAGATCAGGAGGACACCATTGGTCTTCAGCTGTTGCATTGTTAAAAATCTGGGCCACAGATTTGCAACTGCAGTATCACTATCATAATTTTGTGTAGGTCTAGAGTAGCCTTTATAAATCTAGGTCCAATAAGGGGAAGGGGAAAAGAATTTGAGTCTTGCACACTGGCTATGGCCCTGCCATGTACTCATTGGTCAGACCTTGTGTACAGTAGACACACCACATACACACACTTGGCATTTTCTAAAATAGCAAGAACAAAATCCATTGTTTGGAAATTCGCCAGAGGATGATGGCAGGGAGAAGGGGCATAGCCAGATGAGAAATAGAGCCAACAGGGCAGAGAGGTCACCAGGTCAGCAGCCTCCCACTCTGACAACGAAGGGCCAAAACCTGAGACTAGGGTGTGATGGATTTACAGTGGTGCCCCGGATTAATCGTTCCGGATTAATCGTCGCTATGCAGAAACATCGCTAAACGGATCGAAAAACCCTAAACTCACAGTTCAGCGATGTTCCTCCATAGCGCCGCCATTTTCGCGCCCTTGGTAAGCGAAGGCAGGGCGCGAAAACACTTGCGGCGACCATTTTGGGCATCCAGCGGCCATTTTGGAACTGCCGATCAGCTCTTCTGTAAACATCGCAATCTGCCGATCATCTGTTCTGTAAACATCGCAATCCGAAGATTGGTAAACGAAACGCTTACTGATCATCGCAATGCGAGTTTTTCCCTATGTAAACATCGCAATGCGATCGCTTTTGCGATCACAATTGCGACATCGCTATGCGGATTCATCGTTAAACGGTGTGCTCGTTAAGCGAGGCGCCACTGTAATGGTCCATGAAGTAGCGTGGCCAAGAGTCTGTCTCCCAGAGTCCATTGGGAAACAACTGCAGGCTGAAAAAGACAATGTACAGTGGGAAGCAAATTATGTTACTCTGAAGAAAAGAAATACTGTGTTCTAAATCTGAGAGGTAATCAGTGTATTAGCAACTACTGCTAGGTCTTTGGTAGGTGATCTGCCATATGTCAGGATTTACCCAAATGCACGTTGCCAAGTAAACAGCACCCAAGTTCCTGAGATTTCTGGGATGAAGCCCGAGACCCCAAGAATGAGCCCCCAAACTTGATTCTGAGGGCAGAAGCTTGAGACTTGTCAACCACAGTGGAATAGTGCCACCTGCTCTTCTCTTATGCAACCCTATCTCTCCCTATGATAACTGCAGCCATTGTGTGCTGCGTTCTTTCTCTGGCTGGAGGCTCTGTAATGAGTTTTTTTGCTTTCCAACTAAACATTTTTACCCCTGTTTTCTTTTCTTAGTGTTTTTCTTCCTCTTGTAACCTCAGAGCTTTGAAACGGCTTCAAGACATCTTTCAATCTGGTCTGTCAGTTCTACCAGAGGATTTGTTATTGTTTGATTGATTCTCAGATAGCTTCAGTGACTAAATCCTTGCAGGAAATAAAATATTGACAGTTTTGATGGTTCTCAGATGTAGAAACCAGTGTCTTATCCCCTCTCTTTTAAAAGCATGGTTTCCAGGGGGTTGATTTTCAAAGTTCCATTGCCTTAGAGTGCCATGATTTTAATAGGGAAAGTATGTATTTGGATCTTTGTGAAGCCACAGAAATTTTTACCCGAAGAGAGAATTTTTGAACCAATGCTATTGCCCACCTTCTCTCTCATGTTATTGGTCAATAGTCATGCTCGCTGAAGGACAGCGGATTCTGGGTGTGTACTCCAAAAAGGGTCTTTTTCAATCTCTAGTTTTTAATGGCCAAAATCCTGTTGCTTAGTGTAGTAAATCACACTACAGAAGGCAATTCAGTTAATGGAGATCTTTTGAGCCAACTCCTCTGTAAGTTCTGTTGATTCGGATGGTCCAGCTCTGAGACTTTTGTGTAGTAAGCTGCAGTAAGAGTAGGCTCATTTGAATCAACAGAACTTATGAAGGAGCTGACTCACCACTATTTAATGGGCCTACTCTAGTGCAATTTACTGTGCTAAGCAGCAGGATTTTGGCCAATAAATCATTATATGAGGAGTGTGACCTATCCAGAACACTATGCACAGTATTGATTAAAATTGTGTGCTGCCAAGTTGATTCTTACTGAGTACTCAGAAATGATTTACCATTCCCTTCTTCTGAGGATGCTCTGGTGCCATGTAGCCTGACCAAGGCTGCAAGGTCTGACTTTTCTCCTGGGAAGCCTAGTGGGGAATCAAACTCCATGGATCAGATGGTGAACTCTCCTTTGTTACAAGCTGAGTGATCACCTACTAGAGTGATCTAAGACATAGTACGACACAACTGAATGCACCATCTTAATTCCACTAATATTGCTAATAAACCATTTGTTTACAATTACTGTATATCAAATCTCAAACTCCGAACACAAATGTACATTTGCATCTTGGTCTTTATATTTCTGATTGTTTAAATTCATATGAAACTTTTATGCTTCTCTGGCCATCGGTGAAAATGATGTTTCACAAAAACTGTTTTCCCCAGCTCTGTGCGGTGTCGTGGCTACGATTTGGTTCCCAGTGAGCGCTCATCGTGAAACCATGATCATGAGTTTTGGATATTCCCTCTATACGGGCTGGATCGGATCTGCTCTTTGCCTCTTTGGTGGGTGCATCATCGTTTGCTGCTCAGGAGATGCTCAGTCATTCGGCGAGAATCGTTTCTACTATGCCTCAGGATCCAGCTCTCCTACCCATGCAAAAAGCGCCCATGTATAAAGGCCCCTGAGACTTCTCGCATCTTCATCAAATGTTTGAAACGGGTGGATGGTATGTTTGTGTGTGTTTGGGGTCTTGCATTTGCTGGCATCTTCACACGCAGGTTGACCACATCCCTTGCAGAAAAGTTAATGAAACAACCTGAAAATTTTTAAAAGCATTAAATGTCACATGTTTGCCTTAATAAAAAACAGTAGCAAAAAATGGGCCAGGCCTGTTCTCCTGGTTCGTGTGCTTAAGAAACAGCCGAAAAACCCCCTTCCTTCCCCTTTTCCTTCCTTTTCACGACTTACCACTTGTTTTCCCCCATTCAAGGTCATCAATTTTGGCAAGGTTACGATCACAGTTAGAGAGGAAGATGTTGTACTTTTCCATCTGCACAAATGCTTTCCTTTTCATTGAATTGGGGGGGTATCTTTTTGCTTTCTCTGTTAAAAACAAAAACCACAAGGACTTTGATCACTTCTGTAACAATGTTTTTGCCTAAATGCATCAGTATGAAGGAGACAAAGCCAAAAGTTTCTAATTACAAGATAAATAATAGAACACTTGTACATAGCCTTCAATCTGTGTGGTGGGACTAATCCCATACAACCTCCCCCTCCCTGTTTTTTTTGTATAGTTTCTTTTATTTTTTGACTAAATGTACTTTAAGTTTCTCTCTTTCTGTTTTTTTTACTTTCTCCCACTTAATTTGTATTCTGACATGCACTAGGGAAGTGAAACTTATCTAACTGGATGCCAGTTCAGTGAAATCCAATGAATACTGATGACGCTTGTCATGTTTCAGTGAAATACTGTACAATATATAAAAATAAATGTTGGAGTTACTACTTTATTCCCCCCCCCTCATTTTGTCTTCACGTGTGTCATCTGCTTTGTGTTAGTTTTCACTGAATTTGCCTGCTTGTGATTCTGCACAAAGTGGGTTTTTAATTATTTTATTTTTAGGCCATTATCCGGTTAAGAAAAATCACACAAGCAACGACAATCCTACAGTGGTTGCCCCTTCAAGGGGGGGGGGAATGTCCATTCTATGACTGGTTATGCAAAGGACAGCCTGATGGAAGCTGGAAAATGCTTGCACGTTGGTCCTTTCATAGTTTTGTAAGTGAGTAGAGGATTCTCATGGCACAACAGTTAAATTGGAGTACAGCAGCCAAGATTCTGCTCATTAATTGAGTTTGATCCTGACTTATTCAAGGAGTCAACTCATCCTTCCATCCTTCAAGGTTAGTAAACTGAGTATCCTGCTCACTGGGGAGGGGCAATATGTAATCTGCAGAATTATAGTATAAACAGGCCAGAGAGTCCTTTAACACTATGGGTGGTATATAAGCAGAACACTGCTTTGCTTTGCTTTGCTTTGCAGCCTTAGTGAATTGGAGTGTACGTGTCTCTTTTATGTTGTACCTTTTAAAAAAACTCAGTGCAGGTGGAGTCTTAATTTTTTTGTATGTTTGATTGTTTTCTTTACGAATTCCTGGAAAGTTCTTACCACTAGTTGTGTGGGTGACATTTCTGGGGCATTTCCCAATCTCTGAAAGACTTAGAACTAGTGTTGCATGAACACTCAGAAACTGTTTGAAACTTCACATATAGTAGGCTAATTTAAGCTCTGGACTTTATCCTCACAACAGCTCTGTGAATTCAGCCAAACTGAGACAGTGTGACTGACACAAAGTCATTAAGTGAGTTTCATGGATTTGAAACCAGGTTTCCTGAGTTGTATATCAACATTCTAACCTCTACACTACAGTGGCTTTCCCAATCTACTGCTCCCCAAAGGTGTGTCATTACAGCTTCTGTTATCCTCAGCCAGCATCCTGTGCTGAATAAGAATTACATAAGTTCAGCAGCAGTTTTCCTTCATCAACTATGTGACACAAAATCTTACAACCTTATGTTCATTCTCAGACTAGTTTTAACAAAGTCATTCTGGTTCCCACTTCACAGATAAGGAGTTGAAACTAGTGATTACTTTCAGGATCACGACAATCCAAGAAGTTCACAGGAGAGATAAAATGTAATCTGCTTTTTGTTTACCTACCTTGTCTAACCAAACCCCCATGTTAGTGCACAGCACTCACCTGCTTTATTTCTTCCAAGTTTTGTACATGGAATTCCCCACTGATGATAATTCATACTAACTAGACTCACACCTACTTAGCATCTACAAGGAAGTTTTATCTCAAACCTCACTAGACCATACTTGAGAGGACCTTTTTAGATAATCAGTTTTGGTTCAGGAAACCTTGTGACATTTGAAATAGCTAAAACTGTATTTGGAATAAACTATCAGGGCTACATTTCTGGAATTTGTTACTGAAGTAGAAATTCAGTTTAGGTGTTGAAAATCTGTGGGTTTTTAGCCTGTGAAGAGGCAAGCAGAAGCACATAAGGATGACAATAGATGTGCTCTTTAACATTTGATTGGCTGTGTTGGAAAAGGGATGCCATCTATGTATGTAGGGTTTCCAACACAAGGGTAGGAACAGAATCTCTGGTTAATCAGAGTTCTTGTCTTGAGGGTCTGAGACTGCGGTTGGTGCATGTGTTGTGCACACACTGGCATCTATGTATGTAGGGTTTCCAACACAAGAGTAGGAACAGAATCTCTGGTCAATCAGGGTTCTTGTCTTGAGGGTCTGAGACTGTGGTTGGTGCACTCCTGATACTACTTCATACATTCTTATGCACCTTTAGGTGCACCAAATCCCACTGGTTTCAATGGGTTTAGTGGCATTCAGTTGAGCAGGAGATCCCACTGGTTTCAATGGGTTTAGTGGCATGGCATTCAGTTGAGCAGGAGGCAGAGCTATCTGTGTACAATATTAAACAAACAATTAAGTTTGCAACATTGGCATTGAATATTCTGGTGCCGGATTGTCTTTGGAGCAACTATAGTTTTAGAACAAATGTGTGTTTTGTCACTCATTCTAATTTGTTGTGTTAATTTCATATTGTTTTTTCATTCTCCCTCTTTCTCTGACACAATGTTCACAATGTGAACTGTAATTCCACAGATCCTTGGCAGAACATTTGTGCTCATTACATCATAGGGTCCGGGTACTGTTACTTGTTGTATGCCCTGAAGAGAAACAATAAGCACTGCCATTGTGAGATGTGGGCGCTGTAAAGGAATGTGTAACACACAGATGTGTGGCTTTGTGAAGACTGGCCCAGGCTTGTGGACTGTGTTGTTTTTGTGCATGCCACTCCTGTTGTTGAATGGGGCCCATTCAGAAGGATGGAATGGGGTTAAGCAGCTTGTCTTGAAAGCAAAAATGGCTGGGATGGAAACTGTGCAGAGAGGGTCAGGAAATGAAGGACACTGTATGCCTGGCCATAGTATCCACAGCTGGGCACTACTTTTACAAGGAACCACCAAAATGCTGCCCCCCCCAAAAAAGTACAAGCTCTTAGGTTTTCCAGGACTCCTTAACAGCCTGGTATGATGAGTTGTTCTGAAGAATATAGAAACTAGCACAATTTCGTGATTGCTCTTAATAAAATCAGTGCCAAACTGCGTGTTTTGGGTGTCCTCACAGACCGGCACAGCTATCATCTTGTTATAGAGGTGACTGACACAGTTCAGAGGGCAAAAGGAATAAGAGGATGAAAAACTAGTGTTCTGTAACAAATCCTATTGTAGTTTTAGAAGAGGTAGCCGTGTTAGTCTCTGCAAGCATATCAGGTGACAATCCAAAGACACAAAACAAAACACATTTTATTTTATTTTATTTTAACCTTGTTGTATCTATCTGCTGTTGGGATCCCCTTGTGGTGTGGTGAGAAGGACCTACAGCCTTTCAAGCTGCCATTTTCTTTCCATGTGGCTGGCTTTTTCCCAACTTCAACTCTGGCCATGTCAGCACTAGCCCGGCCCAAGTTCTGACCGGCCAATCAGAGGCTAGTCTGGCTGGTTGGAGGGCAGAGATCCCATAGCTGGACCTGATAGAAGTTTCCATTCATCTGCCTGAGAGGGATTTATTGCTTCACCCAACTTCTTCCAGCTCAGTCTTCACTTGGAGTTCTTCCACTCATCCATGCTTTCAGTAGCTTGGTTTGGTGGGGAGGCCACTTACAACAAGGTGTTTGCATTAATTGGAGTGTGGGGTGCATGCAAATTCCTGGGAATATATCACTTTGTTATAGCTTTTGCAAACACCATGTGGCTATGGGGTTGTTTATGCACAGAGCACCAGATCTAGCTTTGGGTTATAGAGGAAGGGAGGCCTCATCACGCATCTGGTGTCTCTTGGGGATGAAGGCTAATATGAGTGCCCACCCACCCCCCAGTGCAAGAGGTGCTCTGAGCTTCACCAATAGATGGCAAAGAGTTATCTTGTGCCCAGGGGGCAACATCTTCATGGCCATTCTGTGCAGTCTCCAGCAGGACGACAAGGTAGAGGCACCATTGGCAAGCAAGTCCTCTAGAGTTTGGATTTGCTGATTTGTTCTGCACCAAATCTGAAGTCCATTCCCCCTGATAAAGTGGTGGTCATTTACTATCCACCTTTCAACAAACTGTATGCATGGTATCATTATTAACAGAACAAGAAGCCGCTGCCCTGAGCATGCTGCTTGCCTCTGCAGTCCCTCATTTCTAAAGTGTAGCTGATCTTCTTGGCCAGAATCCTGTTGAGGAAATGCAACCTTGATAACGGCAAGGGGACAGGTGGCTTTCTCTTTCTGGTGTGCTGTCCTTTGCCTAATGAGACATGTAATGGTTTTGAAATCAGGCGTGCAACTAGTTATGGGACTGATTGGGTAACGAACAGGGATGCTTGCATGATTGCCCTTACATGAGCATTTTCCCATAACAGGATTTTGGCCTTCATGTTTAGCAACAATGCTTTCGTATCAATGTGCAATGTTACAGCAAATGGTTAGATTCTATATAACAAAGGTGGATAGATTTGATTACAGACAGAGATGTCCTCAGGTTGTCTGATCCTAATCAATGGGCAGTCTAGTACAGTAATTTCCTGCTTATCTGATGTAGTCTGATCCTAATCAATGGGCAGTCTAGTAGTTTCCTGCTTATCTGATGTCTGTGTATCAGTCTCTGGCTCTTCTCTTCCATAAACAAGAGATTGATTCTTCTGCCTTTTTTTTGGAAGTCAGGTCCCCTTTCTCCTTGAACTCTCCATTTTACGATAGTCTGTATATGGGCTGCCATTGATGATTTCATAGAGAGGGCGGCACAGATGTAAGGATAACTGTATTCTCTATTGTAACAAACACTGGCAACACAAGGATGGTACTGTGTTGAAAAGGCTATAAATAGGGGCTAACAAAGACTCACTAAGTTATGTAAAGGCTTAACACTCTGGTGGGATTACTGAGGGACATTGTGTTTGAGCAAGAAGCTCCTTGGCTCTCCAAGTGGGTGATGGAGGAGGAGGGCAGTGTCACACATGCCAGTCAGTCTCTTCCCTCCACCTCCACCCCACATCAACAGCTAATGGTGCTAGGCAGGAGTGGCTCTTACGTACTGTCTGTTGCTTCTAGTTGTCTTATGATGGGGTTTCATGGGGAGGGAAGACTTGCTGGTTGAGATTGTTGGTCTTAGAGAAGATACAACACAAAGCAGAGATTGTTATTCTTGTACAAGGTCAACTTCTGCTCATGTTGAAAACAGTATGGAAGCTTGTAGAGAGAGCTGGGGAAGACCCAATATATTTTGCTGCCTGAAGCAGAGGAGCAAATGGTACAATCCCCTGTAGGATCACTCATCAAGATGCACTGTATCCAGTTTTGAAACACACATGAAAATGACACTGCAAGCTTAATGCCTCAGACATGATAGCAAAAATACAACAAAAGTAAATTTACTCCGATTGGCT